TTATAATAATAATAATAATTATAATAATAATAATAACTATAACAATCATAATAATAATAATTATAATAATAATAATAATAATAATGACAATAATAATAATTATAATAATTATAATAATAATAATAATAATAAAAACGCTAATAGAGAAGATAGAGGTAATGAAACAACAAATCTCGGCCACTGCTCAGAGACTCAGAAGGTACAAGAATCGACAAGAGCAGCACAAGCAAAATAGTCTCTTTAATGTCAATCCCAAAGCATTTTATAGGGAGCTGCGAGAAGGAAAAAGGGAACCCATTGAAGCTCCAGCCATCTCTACAACTGAAACGTATTGGAAAAGTATTTTCGAGAAAAGTGTTAACCACAACGAGAACGCAAAGTGGCTGAAAAAGGTAGAAAGGGATAGAGCCACAACTATGAGCTGGCAAAATATCAGTGTCGTGGAAGTCAGATCAGCACTGCAGCAGGCCCAAAATTGGAAAGCCCCTGGTATAGACCAGATACCTAATTTCTGGCTGAAACATCTAGTGTCTACACACGAAACAATAACAATGATATATAATAGTTACTTCGATAACGGAACAGATATCCCGAACTGGCTGCCAAAGGGTAAAACATACCTTCTTCCAAAGTCTGGAGATAGTAGGGACCCCAAAAATTACAGGCCTATCACCTGTCTGAACACCTTGTACAAATTGTTAACTAAAGTAGTAGCCAGCAGAATATCTGATTATGTAAATGATAATAAGATAATACCAACTGAACAAAAAGGCTGTGGCAAGGGCTCTTTTGGTTGCAAGGATCAGCTACTCCTCTCGAAAGCCATTGTAGAAGATTATAACGAGAACAAAAAAAATCTTAGCATTGGATGGATTGATTATAGAAAGGCATTCGACAGCGTCCCGCACAGCTGGCTCCTGAAATCTCTGAAGCTTATAGGAACATCTGAGAAGATCATTGATCTATGTAAGCGATTGATTTCGCTATGGAGTACTACCCTGTTAGTCAGTAATAATGGGGAAGAAATAGAGTTAGGACCCATACAGATAAAAAGAGGTATATATCAAGGTGATACCTTGTCACCTCTTCTGTTTGTGATTGCGATGGTTCCTTTAAGTACGCTGCTCAACTAGGCCAACCTAGGTTACCAAATTAAAGGAGCAAATGATTGTCTCTCCCATTTGCTATTTATGGATGACCTGAAGCTCATATCTCCCAGCCAAAACAAACTGAAAACGTCTCTCAATATTGTAAAAAAATTTAGCGACGACATACAGATGAGCTTCGGTCTCGATAAGTGCGCTGTAGTCACATTCAGGAGAGGAATGCATTATGACTCTGCTAATATAATAGTTGATGAAGGACAGACGATCAAATCACTAGAACATGACGGAGTGTACAAGTACCTGAGAATTAAAGAAGGCCCACACATCACCCACGATTCACTGAAAGTTGATATTAGACATGAGTATATAACGAGAGGACGTAAAATTCTGCAAACTCAACTCACGTCTAGAAACAAGATAACAGCAATTGGAGCTCTTGCCATACCAATCATGCAGTACAGCTTTGGTATAATCAATTGGGCATTGGATGACATAAGACAAATGGATCGCAAAACAAGAAAACTAATGACAACACATAATATCCTTCATCCCAAAGCAGACATCGATAGATTATACGTGCCACGAAAGAAAGGGGGACGAGGACTAAAGCAAATAGAAGAAACGTACAACAATACTATCTTCTCAGTAGGGCAGTATATTCAAACCAGATCTGAGCAAGACCGCCTACTACAGATGTTACTAGCACATGACAATAGGAAACCAACAAATAGATCTATTAAAGCGTAGTAATAAGATCAAATTAGAAGCTGCGGAAACCGGACATACGGTCGAGCGAGGTAACAGGTCCATCAAACTGTACCTGAAGCAATGTGTCGAAGAGAAATGGCGGAGTAAGCCTCTACACGGACAGCATATCCGTCAAATGGAGGAGCTTCCGGTTGACTTAAGACTGTCATTTGGATGGTTACAATACGGAGATTTAAAAGGGGAAACCGAAAGTTTGCTGGTGGCAGCACAAGACCAAGCCTTGAAAACGCGTTACATTGAGCAAGCCATACACAAGACGAGGAATGACGGTAAATGCAGATTGTGTCACATTCATAATGAAACTGTTGAACATATAATATCTGCATGTCCAATACTAGCGCCAAAAGAATATACTGACAGGCACAATAATGTCTGCGCAGCCATCCATCTAGAAGCGTCTCGCCACCTTGGTTGTCCAATAAAATCGACGAAATGGTATGAGCATCACCCCGACAGAATAACACAAAGTGAAGATGGTAGTATCACAATAATGTATGACCATCCCGTTATCACGGATAGAGAAATAAAAGCAAACAGAACAGATATTGTTATAAAAACCACCGGAATGTGCTATATAATTGATATATCGGTACCTGCAGATAGACATGTCATACAAAAGGAGGCTGAAAAGCAACTAAAATACAAATCATTACTCATAGAAGTGCAAAGAATGAGGCATACAAGGCAGTTGTTATTCCCGTAGTGATTGGTTCAACTGGATATGTCACTCGCAACATCCTAGATAACCTAAAAAGGATACCAGGAGATCATAATTTCTATCAGTTACAGAAGATCGCCTTATTAGGCACATCGCACATAATTAGGAAAGTTATAACATAACCAGCTCATAAACTACAAAGATCTGTGCCCCTCAGGTCCTCGGCGAGGACCCGGTGTAGAGGTCAAACCGTTCCATATAAGATACCGCTACTAATAGACAACGGTCCTGTAGCGTGAAAAAAAAAATAATAATAATAATAATAATAATTATAATAATACTAATAATAATAATAATAATAATAGTTATAATAATAATCATAATAATAATAATAATAATTATTATTATTATAATAATAATAATAATAATTATAATAATAATAATAATCATAATAATTATAACAATTATAATAATAATAATAATAATAATAATAATAATAATAATAATAATAATAATGCAGCTGTTGCAACAGTAAGAACACTTGGTGTCAAAATGCCAACTCAAAAGATTACTGAAAATGCAGTAAAACCAATAACACCAAAATGGGAAAAACGTCTGGAAAGAAGAACGGCAGACATTCATAGAGATATCGGACGTCTTACCCAATTCACACGAGGAATAACAACTCGAAAAGTCCGAAAGCAAGCTATGGAAATAATGCAACGACTCCACCATCATTCTCACCAAGACGTAACTAACATCAACGAGTGGCAATGCCTTGATACCTTGAAGCAAAAACTGTCCGTATATACTCAGCGATTGAAAAGGTATAAAGCGTCCAGTCACAGAAAGCACGACAATGCGCTCTTTCAACGATCCGAAAAGGCATTCTACAGGAAACTGTCATCCGAACCCAGGAAAAGAGCAAAACGGTGCCCACAAAGGACCAAGTAGAGGAATTTTGGGGCAAGCAGTTGGGCTCGACAGCTTATTACAACAACTGTGCAGGATGGATTACAGATGAAGAAGCGAAGAGCCATTATTGCAATCCCATGCAGTATAGGGCATATACCAAACAAGAAATCGTGGATATCGTTAAGCAGTTGCATAATTGGAAGGCCCCGGGCCCAGACCAGATTCATGGCTACTGGATAAAGAAGATTTGGTGCATGCATGAACAACTAACAAGATATATCAATGACATGCTTGTGAATCCAAATAAGACTCCAACGTTCCTCACACAAGGGCTAACGGTATTAATACCAAAAGATCTCAATAATACAGAAGACCCAGCAAAATACCGCCCAATTACCTGCCTTCCTACGCTATACAAAGTGGTCACTGCTTGTATATCGAAGCGAATTTATGCTCATTGTGAAGAAAACGATATTATTGCGCCACAACAAAAAGGCTGTGCTAATGGAGCTATGGGATGCAAAGAACGATTCAGTCATCTGTAACCAAGCCTATACCAACAAAAGGAACCTATACATTACGTACATCGACTATCAGAAGGCATACGATTCTGTACCTCATGAGTGGCTTGTCAGGGTGCTGAGGCTCTATAAGGTAGATGAGCATGTAGTGGCCCTATTAGAACATATGCTGAAGACCTGGTCTCTTTCAGGGTGATTCATTAAGTCCCCTATGGTTTTGCCTAGCTATAAATCCCCTCTCAAACCTCTTAAATGCAACAGGGTATGGATATAGTCTGAAAGATAACAGGAACGCATCCATAAAAGTGAACCACTTGCTGTATATGGTCGACCTAAAGGTAATAGCTGCTACTGAGAATCAAATGAAACAGCTGATAGAGATAGTCGGTCAGTTCTCAGATGACATAAGTATGCGATTTGGGATGGATAAATGCAAAACCTTATCTATACGTAGGGGGAACATCTACCCTGGAGGATGTTCAAGCTGCAGAGGCCAAAACATTGACGCAATGGACGCAAATGACACATACAAGTACCTTGGAATGGCGCAGGCCCGAAGGAAAAAAATGAAGGAAGCTATATCGCAGACCTTCACAAAAAGAATACGGCTACTTCTGAAAACAGAACTCAATAGTAAGAATCTAGTCAAGGCGATTAACACCTACGCATGCTCTGCCTTGAACTACTCGTTCGGTATAGTTCTGTGGAGTAAAACTGACATCGAGAAACTAGAGAGGCGGGTAAGGACTATGCTAACAAAAAAAGTAGCGCACCATCCTCGCAGTGCAATAGAGCGCACAACCTTACCCCGACAGTTAGGAGGAAGAGGTCTAATGGACATCAGCAAGCAGCTAGCTCAACAGGTACTCGCCTTGCGATCCTACTTCTTTGAGAAGGCGGAGATCTCTGAGCTGCATCGCATCATATGCTCAATAGATGACACAACGCCCTTACACCTTAGTAGACGAGATGACCAACCGAGTCACCAAACCAACGAACAGAAGCTACAACGATGGATTGAAAAACCTCTACATGGGAGACATGCCAACGAGATTAGCCAAGAAAACGTTGACAAGAAAGCGTCAAACGTATTGGCTTACCTCAGGCCAAATGTTCCCTGAGACTGAGGGATTCCTTGTAGCTATACAGGACCGGGTCATCCCTACCAACAATAACAAGAGGTTCATACATAGGAACTTGCAACAGTCTCATAAATGCAGGTACGGCTGTCAGGACCCCGAAACAATACAGCACGTAACTGGTAACGGACTATAAGGAGCGCCACGACATAGCTGCCAAAATCATTCACCAGGAGTTGGCATACAAATTCAAACTGATCGAATGCAAGCTACAGTACTACAAATATACACCGCAATGTGTCCTCGAGAACGACAAGTATAAACTATACTGGGATCGCACTGTGCTTACGGACCAATACATAAAACAAAACAGACCTGACATAATCATTGTCGACAAGGGCGCTCAGGAAGTAACACTGATTGATGTGGCCATACCTAATAGTAACAATTTAACCTACAAACATAATGAGAAAGTTGCAAAATACAGGGAGCTAGAATTTCAAATTAAACGCCAGTGGAAAATGAAGTACGTGGAAACAATACCAATAATAATGTCATCTACAGGGGTGATACCAAGATGCCTGCTAGAAAACATCAAAGCGCTGGAACTGAGTGAAAACATTTACAAAATCATACAGAAAGGATTTTTGCTGGCAACTGCCCGCATAGTAAGAAAATTTATGGGAAATGCAAGTACCTAGTGAGGTCACTATTGAGGCTTACCCCTTTGATGCTTGAAACGTCCGGGTTAAGCCAGAACACCCCGATTAACGGGAGTAACAAAGCCCTACGGCTATAAAAATAATAATAATAATAATAATAATAACTATAACAATCATAATAGTAATAATAATTATAATAATAATAATAATAATAATAATAATAATAATAGTTATAATAATAATAATAATCATAATAATAATAATTATAATTATAATAATAATAATAATAATTAGAATAATAATAATAATAATGATTATAATAATAATAATAGTTGTAATAATAATAATAATCATTATAGTAATAATAATATAATTATAATAATAATAATATTTATAATAATAATAATATAATAATAATAATCATTTGTCTTAATGGGTCACTAAGACAAATAAACCACCTCCGCAAAATAGACGGAACAACCATAAATAATGAAAATAGCATCGCCAATCACCTTGCAGACCATTTTGCTAACATCAGCAGCTCCTCCAACTATAATCAGACCTTTAGAGCCCAGAAAATGCAACGAGAGAAGATACATATAGATTTTTCCAGAAATAATTGTCTCAATTATAATGTTTCCTTTGAAATGCATGAATATGTCTCCAGATCAGCTCCAGGTCCAGATAAGATTAATTATGAAATGATCGTACATCTACCACAGAAATTGAAGTAATCCTGCTGAACATCTACAATGAGATATGGGTAAATGGTGTATATCCTAGATGTTGGAAACTTGCCACAATTGTACCAATTTTGAAAGATGGTAAGGATCCCCTGGTGGCTTCCAGTTATAGACCTATAAGCTTAACCTGCTGTCTGGGTAAGATACTGGAAAGAATGATTTGTGAACGTTGAATGTGGATTTTGGAAAATGATGAACTGCTTGTAGGACACCAAGCAGGATTCAGGAGGTTTAGATCCACATTGGACCAACTAGTCTACGTTGAGGACTTGATAGAAAATGGCTTCAAAAACAGACAGCATACTGTGGCTGTAATGTTTGATGTAGAAAAAGCCTATGATATGACGTGGAGATATGATATCCTCAAACAGTTACATCGCTGGGGAATTAGAGGAAATCTACCAATACTTATATCATCATTTTTGACAGATCGTCTCCTCCAAGTACGAATAGGAAATACCTTTTCCACAACACGCATCATGGAAAATGGTATCCCACAGGGATCAACCCTCAGCTGCATTCTTTTTGCGATAGCAATAAACTCCATCACTGAGAATGTCAATCCTGCTATAAACCAATGCTTATATGTTGATGACTTATGCATTTTAACTTCAAGAAAAACTGTTGGTGAAACTACTCGACTTCTACAACCTGCTATTGATACCATCTTCAGAATGCTAAGAACAAAGGATTGACCCTATCACGGATAAAAACACGATGTATCCATTTCTGTAGGCTTAGACGACCACACTATGATCCACGCCTCTGTCTCAACAATGAACGCATACCCCGTGTGTCTTCTGTAAAATTCCTAGGCCTAACACTCGACAGTAAACTGACATGGAGAGATCTTACCAACAGGTGCAAGAGAGCCCTGAACCTAATAAAATGCCTGTCGTCAACACGATTCGGAGCAGAAGCTGAGATGCTGTTGCGGATATACAAGACCATCATTCTATCTAAGCTTGACTACGGTAGTATTGTTTACTCATCTGCAAGACCGTCACTGCTTAAAAAACTTGATACAGTTCACAACCAAGGATTACGTCTCTGCCTTGGAGCATTTCGTACAACTCCAGCAGCTAGCCTCTATTGCGAATCCGGAGTTGAACCTCTATCCATTAGACGTAAAAAACTTGCACTATCGTTATTCTGCACAGATTCAAACACGACCATTCCATAGAAACTTTTCTATCATTTTCAGTACGAATGAGAGCTACATCTGTCGCCCCACAATAACAAGACCTCTCAGAGTCCGAGTTAAAGAATATGCCGAGGAAATTGGTATATCATGTAACCCTATCTACGTATATAATGTTAAACACAGAGAATCTCCTCCATGGCTGTCACCCAAAATAAATGTGAATCTCGAGCTGACTGCACTATCTAAGAATGACCATCCATCTGAACTCATAAAATCACGTTTTATGGAAATCGTTTCTAGATATCCGGCAGCAACAGTTATCTATAACAGATGGATCGCGAACTGACGGTGGTGTCGGCTGTGCTATAGTAGTCGATCAAACTGCTCATCAATGGACACTATCACCAATAGCATCCATATTTACTGCGAACAATATGCTATTTGGCAGGCCCTACGATACTGTGACATGTCGAATAACATAACAACAGCTATTATAGCTAGTGACTCGCTCTCAGCACTTCAAGGCCTAATGAACTATGCATCTCGAGATTCCTTAACTGTGATGTGCCTTGAAACTGTCAAACATCTCTTAAATAAGGGGTAAACGTAAAATTTCTGTGGTTGCCAGGACACGTTGGTATACAGGGGAATGAAGCTGCTGATATGGCAGCGAAAGCAGCAGCGCAACAAAACATCGACATCCCTGAAATAAAAATGTCTGATCATAAAAACTACCTCATAAACCGTATACAGCGACACTGGCAAATTACATGGGGTAACACTGATACCCACTTAAGACAGATAAAACCTAGTGTAGGATTATGGCCACATCCTATCAGATTGCCACGAGAGGAATGGGTGCGCATACATCGCTTACGCTTTGGCCACACACGTCTTACACATGCACAATCTTTTGCTCGGAACAGATCCGCCCTTGTGCACTGGATGTACTCTTCACTCACTGTACGCCACATTATCTGCGCATGTCCGATATTGTTCCCAATATCGAGTGATCTATGGACCATTTGATAACCTGACAGAGAATCTCACACAACCAGAAAAACTGAAAAACGTCATATCATTCTTAAAAGTATCTGGTTTCTATTGGAAGATCTGACCTAATGAACTTTTTGGAAATGAACCATTTTAATTTTTGTGTATCTTATTCTCAACTGAGATTAAATGAATGTTATGTAACGATGATTTGCATCATACCTACCTTAGCTTAGTATTGTCATCTTGAACTAAAAGAAATATGTAACAATAGAATTTGGATAAATCGAAATACTTGAACGCAAACAGATCGTGAAATGCAGATAATGACCACAAAAAAAAAATATTAATATTAATGAATATATGCCTGACAAATTTAGTCGTGTAACATTTCCAGAGATAAATGACAATAGTATATCCTTTCGATTAATATCTGGAATTTGCGTAGTTAGTTTTTTTAAAAATGCGACACTTACCACTTAGACATGTAAGAGATTATATATTTTATACTTTAGATTTACATATTATATGTATATATTATGATACGGCTAATAACCATAGAAGTTGACGCCGTCAAAAAAAAAAAAATTATAATCATAATAATAATAATTATAACAATCATAATAATAGAAAAATAATAATAATAATATTATCATAATAATAATTATAATAATAATAACAAGAATAATAATAATAATACTAATGAGATAATAATAATAATTATAACAGTCATAATAATATAATAATAATAATAACAATAATTATAATAATAATAAGAATAATAATAATAATAATATAATAAGAATAATAATAATTATAATAATAATAATCATAATAATATAATAAGAATAATTATAATAATAATGATATATAATAATAATTATATAACAATCATAATAATAATAAAATAATTATAATAAGAATAATAATAAATAATAATAATAATACAATCATAATAATAATATAATTATATTATAACAATCATAATAATAATAATAATATTATAAAATAATAACAATAATACTATAATAATAATAATATAAGTATAATAATAATAATAATAATTATAAGAATCATAATAATAATTAGAACAATCATACTAATATAATAATAATTATAACAATCATAATAATAATAATAATAATAATACTAATAATTATAATAATAATAATAATAATAATAATAATAATAGTAATAATAATAATATTAATAATAATAATAATAAAATAATAGAATAATAATAATAATAATTATAACAATCATAATAATCATAATTATAATAATAATAATAATAACAATAATAATAATTATAATAATAATAATAATAATAATAGTTATAATAATAATAATAATTATAATAGTAATATATAATAATCATAATAATAATAATAATAATAATTAACCATACCATAACCATACCATTTATTGACAACCTAACATATAGATACATGTTGAGGTCACAAACTAGATAAAGTTTAACAGAGTCTGTCATCTGCTCTACACACGATCACTGATCACTAGGATCGCATGCACTTAAATATTCACTGTACAGTATAGAAGCAGTTTTTTTCAACAAATAGTTTTTGACAAACCTAGAGAAACTGTTTGTTAGACATCTTCTCAATATTGGACCGCTTTATGATATCTAACAAAG